GGTCCATAACAACCATATGATGTCATATTGATAATGATCACATAAAGAGAATTTGTTCTAACAACTTTAAAGCGAAGAGGTGACTTCTTATGTCACCTGCATTCTCCCATCCTACTTAGATAATCAATCTTTTTCCAATTTATATATGAACATATTATAATTTCTAAATATTATGGCTCGGATACTTTGAGTACAAGCAAACGTTAATTTCAACTTCATCTCAATTTGATTGAATATTGAGGAAAAATGTGTACATAATGTCTCCTTGTACTCTTCTCTTGGCTCATTCCCTCACTATTAATTTAAAGCTCTGTCTCCAATTAGAGATCTTTTGGTTACCACCTGAGGCATGTGCGCCATTACTGCACCCTTAGGGTTATCATGCCAGGCTGCTGGTTCCTGTGGCTTGTAGGCATCATAGATTTTTAAACAGAATAAGTATGTTCTCTATGGTCATATTATTCCTGCCTCCAAATAGCAGGTACAGTGAGGGATATTGAAGGCATTTGAACAACAAAACTCATTTGTTAAATGCAACAAATATGATCTGGATACCCTTAATAGTGGGACAAAGTTGCCCTACAAGACACAAATTGAGTTAGACAAAGTGTACTTACACACTTCTCACGATGTATTAAACTCATAATTTATAAAAGTCATTTTAAGATCATTTAAAATATTCTTGCAATGGTTTAATTTGTGTAATTCGTGAATGTACAAAGAAAATTCTGTTTTCAAGGATGTTGACATCATTTCTATGAATTTCTTGGAAACAATATTACAAGGTGTCTAGAAATATTGGATTCATCATGACACATGGTAGAAATTGGTTTCTGTGCAGATCCTGGTGCCATCTTGCCCTCCTGTGACCCATTATCAACATTCCCCTTGTTGCCTTGACCACAATGAATATGTTGTAGAAGACAATTTCCTTGGCTAATTGACTCTAGTTTTGCAGGACCTCATCATTATAGCTTGGTTTGGTCACTATCCTCCCCACAGTGAATTAGCTGAGTTCTCTTTTTATAAAAACATTTTGTATGCCTCTGTGCTTGAAGTAATAGCCTGCAAGTAGCCACAAAGGAAGGAGGCCATGAAGTTCACAACAGGAAGACATTATGCTGAATAAGCTTCAGCAGCAAGGAAGACCTGGGTAACAGTTTGCTTTTTGCATACATTAATTAAGGTTTGGCTTGTGGAGAGGAAGAAATGGATGATGGGAGGAATGATGATCAGAAGAGTGACTGTGAATCTTTGTGGTTACAGAGACAAGAAGAAATCTTCACTGAAGTCACT